CGGAGGTTCGGTGACCGCTTCAAACACCTACATCTCCCGTTGAGCATCCATAAACAGGAATATGCTCAGATGCACTAAATCAGCCACATAAATGGCAACAAAGGTTACAGAGAGTTCAAGAAAGAGATATGAGATTTATCTCTTAAAGTACAACAGATGATAGCCCACGATTCACTCAGAAAACACCAAGAACACCTTCGAACATACACTTAGTATTACAACAGAAGAATCACTTACAGTTCACAATATTCACAAAGAATATTACAACCGAAGGGAGATCTAACTATTACCATACTCTAAATCAGAGATTTAGAGTGAAATCAGCCATCAAGAATCAAACCCTATCTCTTTCTCTCTTTTTCTCTCAAAGGTAGAAACCCTAGAAGTCTTGAGAGTCTGCCAAGAATTGACTGAAGCCAAAAGATCTCGAGCCCATAGTATATCAATAGTCCAAGCATCCAACAGCCATGAACGAGCCACATGTCTTTCATCAGAGCCAGGACGCTTTAATAAAAGAAGCGTGATATGTAAATACGACTTCACCAAAATGCTAGGAGCATACAAATGGACCTAGATCCAGCCCAATAGTTACATCAAACCATGCAACTAAATTACCAGATAATACAAAAAATTATCTAGGCAAAAAAATAACACTGAAGTAGAAAAATACAGTAACAAAATTCATAAATAGGCTGCTGATCATTAACAGAGTTGGATAATTTTTTCAGAAATGGATGAAGGTGGCCAGTTTGTAGTTTGTGGTACTCAGTCCAGTAGTAAAGGTTCTCTTATTATGTTCAAATTGTCTACAGAGTTTGCATATCATCTTTAGTCATTGTCTGTTTGCATTGCCAGTAGATGTTGAAGCGTGGTTTAAAGGTGGTTGCTGTTCATTTGGCTCCTTTCTTCTCGCCTCTTAGATCTCTCTGGCTTCTTCCTAGTGTGAAAATGTGGTGTTAATGGATGCTGTCCCGGATTAGACCTCAACTCTGCACCCGCCATAG